AAGTGGGGAGAAGGGGGGAACACCCGGGGGAAGAGGGGGGGGGGTGCGGCGGGGGAGGGGGGTACAGTGTGAAAGAACGGAAGAAGACAGGAAGGGAAGAAAGCGACGAGAAAGCAAGACAGGGGAAAGTGATGAGTTTTGTGTTAAGACCATGTAAAGTAGCCCCCACTGTTCCTCCCTCTCTCCTAATTACCTCCGTGGCTGTGATGAATGACACTGCACTTCACACCCAATCGGCAAGTTTGGGGGGGGGGGGCACTGCCAGTGCACCTCCAGTGGAAGCAGATGCTGCTAATATGTGGGTGGAGGTGTGTGGACGCTCGGCTCCGTCACACTCGTTCTGTCACATTCCTGGGCCTTTTTTTAGTATTTTAAACATTCATTACAATATCTCCTCAAAAAGCAGCCACTGAATTACAGGAACTCAGTCTTTGTGTTTTTTATGTGAGGCGTGAGGAATGGTCGGAGTTAGAATGGAATTATAAATATGTAAAAAAACAAAACAAAAAAAAAGCCTCTGAATTGTATTAGCGACTAAAGGGGACATTTATGAGAGACTTCTTAGAGTCCCTTCGTCATGTTTTTGGACAACAGCTCAGTTTGTCTCATACTAGTCCAACCACTGGTTCCCACCTCTTCAGCTCAACTGCCAGCACTTCTCCCTTCATTAGTCATAAAGCTTCGCTGGTTGTACCTCAAACATCAGAAGTGCTGAACACCAGAGGCTCGTGACATAGAGTGTATCAGGAGTGGTTTCCAAATCCATTCCATTCAACTTGCTTCACTTTCCACGGAAACGTACGAGAGGAACCTTGTCTCTTTGTTTCCCTCACAGACCAGTAAGAACTGGAGGGCCGCTGTAGCGTCCTTTGCCTGATTTGTTTTTTTTTAAATGCGCTCACTCCTGATTTAATTTTTCTGACAACTGATCTTTTTTCTGGTGATTTAGTAAACTGGACCCAGAGTCCACTACTGTGAGCGCTACATTATAATGTGAACTGCAGTAAACAGCCCCGAGCCGCTGTGTCGTACTGTAGAAGTGGACAGTATTTGATTAAAGTTCACGTACATGTATACGACAGGGAGACGGCGACTCTAAGCGACTCCTGACTGGCTGTCCCTCCAACCCCTCCGGCTCTTGTTTACACAGCGGCGGTCCTGGTCCTGGTCCTGGTCCTGGAAGCAGTTTTGCGTGACCCGCAGGGGTTTAGTGAAGTCCATGCAGCAGAGTTTCTTGACCTGAGAAATTAAAACGTTTTTGATAATCAATCAAATAATAATCAACTGTAGAAACATGTATCAGTCTGTTATGGACTAGTTACAGCTATACCAGTAGTCCCCAAGGACTGGTACTACAGACCGGTACCAGCCGTTACTACGTCATGTTCCACTAAGTATTATAGGTTTTAAACTCATCAGCTTTTCATCAGCAACAAATTACAGGTTTAATATACTCCACTGTCAAACGCCGCTCCGCTGACATGGACAAACGCCGCCAGTTGAACCACCTCCAAAGGAAACTCCTAAACACATTCAATTCCACTGATGACATTGTTTAGAAATAAGACGGAGCCGTCGTGGTACGTCCGACCGTCGCACGCACCGAGTCCAGAAATCAAGGATTTGTCCCGGTCCCAAAAACAACCTCAACCGACACAGGGAGAATCAGCAGGGCCACAGCCGACTACAGACATTCCAATCAACAGACATCACTCACTGTACTCCCAGCACCTCGTATATCGCCCTCCGCTGGCTGCCCTCACACACTACGCTTCGATACAAACGTGAAACTCTTAGCTTTCATTCGGTAACGGAACAGAGGAAACATTCAGACGGGCAGAGCTCAGTCGTCAGGGTCATAAAAAAACCTCTTTTAGACTCTGTTCTGTTTGGATCAGAGTCTGAACGACCTGTTATTTTAAAATCAGATTCTCTTTAAATAAAGACAGTAAATGGATATGACTGGACTTTCTCTGAATGAAGTAAATTAGGAACAATGAAGTACATGTTTTCACTGTGGCCCGCTACCAAATGACCTACGGACTGGTAC